TCCAGCCTAAACAAGGCTGAGGTTTGAAGCTCATTTTAGACCTCGCAACTGAGAAGAGAAAATAATCTCACCATTTTGTATTTTTTCCAAAGCTTTGGGCCATATCATATGATTCCAATTAGCATATAGTTAGTCATGGATTATGACATCATAGTGATTATCATAGTCATCGGGGTTATCTTGGCTTCAGCTTGAAACTTTAAATTTCTTGCAGAGAGTCTTTGTTCCAAACTGAGGTGTGGCATTTAAAAGATACTGGTAGCAGCATTGCAAAGGGAGCTAATGAAACGCTGTATTAAGTTGCACTGAGGACGTGTGACCAGTATAAAAGATTAAAAATCACAATATGTTCGACTTTGACTATTGTTTCTTGTCATTTGTCTCTTTGTTCCCTCTGCTCTATAGTGGTGCAAATTCTACATTGCTGAAGTCGCCCTTTAGGGTTTAAGTCAGGACACACTTGTCAGAGACAAAGTTCAATCTAAGTCGCACACTTTGTGCATCCAGAAAGAATCCATCCCATTCTGGTTTTGCAGCTCTGTCATGTCATGTGCTTCTCACAGACAACAGGCATCATTTGTATGTTGGCAAGAGGCTGCGTTTCAACAAAAGGGAAAAATGTTTTAATCAATGTAGATTTGTACCAAATGAATCAGATTGTGTTATTGTTTTGTCTCTGCTCCACAAATGACTCTGCAACACACCAGCATTTTGGGCTCTTACTCGTGACCTTGCAGTTTTTTGGTCACGAAACAACCCAATTTAGTGTTTTAGAAAGTTGCTGTGTCACTATGAAAGAAAGTGAGTGGACAGAGCGCTGGTCCAATACAGCTGCTCTTTATGCAGAACTTCTACGCTTCTGTCTAAAAGATAAAAGGTATGAAAAGCTAACAGAGAACAACTGGGTCTGGTGTGGATTGCAGCCGGTGAGGGGGCCGCAGGCTGACAGGAGGCTGTACAGAGAGGCAGTAGACAGTATGGGAGCCCGGCTGTGACAGGGGATGGCAGGGTGGGTGTCACCAGGTACGATTCCCCCTGTCTCGGTGTATCTCAAGAGTTTCGCCTGGCTGATCAGGGACGACAGGACCGCTGCTCCCAACCTTCAGTCAGCTGTCACACGAGGTCACGGCAGAAGACAAAGCATGCGAGTCACACACTGTACAGACCAGACACACGGCGGCTACATGCGTCGGCATTCAGTAGCCTGCACTTGTGCTGCATGTGAAGTTCGACAGCAGTCGTCGGTTTCAGCCCTGGAAGAGGGAACAAGCGTGGGCCGAAAGGAAATAATGTGGTGCTGAATTTAATTTCTCTATAATTTCTATTATGTTGGTGGTCACGGGTTAACACTGGGGAGTGAAAATGGAGGAATAAAAACACAACAACTTGGATTAGAGAGAAAAAAAATGAGGGAGTTCAGAGGGTCGTATATCATTAAGCAATTGAGAAAGTTAATTAGGCAGCTCTGATAATTATTGCCATGGCAACCTGAGCGCACTCATGCAGATTTGATTAACGAGGTGCCATTTATCTGTACTGGCTAGACAGCAGGGCCTGCACAGAGCTTGAAGGACCCCTATAGGTAGAAGATATGTAATGTCTCCTTTATTCACAGCCACTACGTACTTTTAGATTTCATTTAAAGCAGGGAAAATACCGTTTACTTAGTTACTGTTGTTGACAAAAGTAGATTATTTCTGCACAATATCTTTCACCACTCTCAAGAATCAGATATCTATTTGTTGGTTCTGTCTCAAGCAAACTGACAGCAGAGAAGGTTTCCACTTAAAATAAACGACACATCTACATCCATAAGAGCCCATAAGAGAGTCAATGGCATGTGGTAGAAAATACAACAGGGTAAAGAAAGGATGTGGTTTGCTTGTGGTGGAGTGAGCAGAGAGGAAAATATAAGGGTGTTGATTCCAGTACACATGTTGCCCTCTGGTGGAAAAACAACAACATGTATGCCTGCACGCCTTCCTGCTGAAGCCTGTCTGGAGTCTTGTTGAGCAGCAGGCACCATATTGTCAGGCAGAGGCGCTTCATTATGCAGCAGGGACAATTACTCATGGCTGTTAAGAGAGCAGAGTACAGCAGTAACTTGGAAAAAAAAAAGAAGCAATAAACCCATACCACATCCAAAAAGATGAGCGGAGCCATTTCAAAAGCAGTAGCTGTCACCAATCAGGACACGATTCAGAATGAAACAACCGATAGGTGCTCACAATCTTCAGAGAATATTTTCATCAACATGGGAAGTAAATGACACATTTAGCATGTGCTAGAGACACGCTATCAAAATCAGTTTGCTAAAAAAAAAAAAAAATCACTTAATTAGCACTCTCAAGGGTTTCTTTTTTTTGCCATAGATGGCACCATTGGCAGCATGCAGACAAAAGTGAATACATGAAAGTAAAGTAAGCTCAGTGGGAGATTTCTCCAGGGACCCGCTAATCCTCCTCCACATCATTTCACACACAGCCAAGTGAGAGGTATGGATTAAGGTTTATTATACAAATATCAAGCACAGATGAATTCTAATAACAGTCATATCAATTATAGCCCTCTCACTCTAAGTGTTTCATAAATATCTGACAATGGCACTTGCTAAGAAAGCCACATTCTGGTATAAAAATAGAAAAAGAGAGAAAAAAAAACATTGATTTTACTGTCACAAATACTGGTTTCTTTATTGAGTTCCTTTGAAGTCAATCTTCACCCACAGTTCATAGCCTTGTCACAGTCTATTACAGGTATATCTGCAGTTCCTTTCCTGGCTTGTGACATTTTCTTCCTATTTTTAAGAGTAAAAATCAGCTACTGACCAAATATAATTCACACAAAGAACAATTCATACAGAGGGTGGTCTGGGAAAAATATATACGAGGACAGAAAAAGATGTGAGAACACAAGACCAAATAAATGCAAAGAGCAGCACTTGATCTTAAAAAGGATCGTAGATAACGCATCAAAGTTGGGCCAAATAAGCCTTAAAGAACAGGAAACAGAAGAAGCATATATAAATTTATCCTACTTCACCAATTTCATCAAAGTCACTGCTTACAGTAACAGCATGTGTTGTGCTCTCCAGGAGAATGTAGTTCATTATACTGGGATCTCCAAGCATCCATGACTGGAGTCATTAGAACAGTCCACTGCTCATGTAATGTCCACATTTCTTGCTAGTTATGTAAAAAAACAAAAAAAACAACAGAGAAGGCCATGTGTAAATGTAGCTCCAATATTTGTACGTTAGTAAGTCAATATTAAAGCAGCAATAATCAATCTTTAATATGATCAATCGCATGTGCAATGTGAAAGGGCTGGCTGTAAGGGAAACCAACAGAGAACTAGAACTAAACGCTGCAGTTCCTCATGGTAACAGTGTGTGTGTGTGTGTGTGTGTGTGTGTGTGTGTGTGCACGAGCATTGTTTTGCAGGCCACAAACCGTCCTCTCATCAGAGCAATCAGAGCATCTAAGAGTTCGGGACGACCAAAACAGAACTACGAATGATTCCAAATACATTAAAAAAACACGTAAAAAATCAGTTAATGCTGCTTTGAGCATGAAAGGTGAATCTACAGTGTTACTGGTGGTAACAGGACACGTAGGCAGACTCTGTCACTGGCCTATTAACTCATAACTGTGACAAAAGATTGTGCAATCATGACCACTATGACAAAAGCTGGGTATTAATTACATCTATTAAGACTGCAGCATTATGGAGTCACCTCTGTTCATACAGTATATGTCCTTCTGGTTTGAGATAGCAGGAGATCTAAATGTAACGAAGGAATGTTTAAAAGTGTTTCTTCTGCCTGCATTTTACAATATAAACTAGTACTACTGCTACTAAAGTAGCTGAATCAGTTTGACCTGTTCCTGTCTGACTGTACAGGCAGCTACCACCAGATTACTATGATACTGAGGAAACTGTAAAACCTGATCATCAAGCAACTTCTGGACCTTTTTTTTAATGATTTCCAAGTAGGATTATTTGCTACTATCAGACATATTGATATCTTTGGAAAGTTTATTTCACGGTTAAAGTGAAAATACGGGGTTGGTTTTAGAACAGACTTGCTGCTGTTTGTTGCCTCACAGCGGGGACGTTACTCACACAGAGGAGGCCCAGAAACTTTGTGGCAAAACGCTGCAAGTTAAACAGCACATTTTTTATGACGTACTTTGATGATGAGGATTTACATATAATGAGCATTTTAAGGAAACCCTCCACTGGTCTAAGTTATGCTTTTTTTACATTTTGACATTACAGTTTAAATAAGACTTGGTTTAGGGTATAACACCAGACCTATGAGTATGTGTGTGTGCAGTGAGTCGGTTGTGTGGGTGGTGAGACTTTCTGCCGATGGCCACCCCTTCGCTCTGCACCTGCTCAGCATGTCCTGCACAATATGAAAACCTAGAACACAGCCCGACATTTTGTGGATGGAAACTATACCAATGATAAAAAAAAATAGTCCAACTTATAACAACCCTCCCTAATCAATCTGACCGTAAAGAAAAAAGTTTCCCAGAATCTAGTAACGCAGCTCTGAGTGTCTGTATCATAGTTTATTATAAATTATCTCCTGATTGTGAGTGATGTTGTTCAAGATCCAGATCTCATCATGATGACCAGATAAGGCCTCCCTACTCGACGGACCTCTGGCCTGTATTACATTTTACTTCATTACATTAATGGGGTTTTTTTACAGCACAGCGAGGTGTTCGCTGTACATCTCGACCACTACAGGCTCCAGCAAGCTTCTTGCTAGCTCATTAATATGAGCTACAGGCTAAAGCCAGTATTTCTTCACTTATGGTTTCATTGTGCCCTGATAAAAGAGGAAAGGATACCGAAACTACATCAGAATTATAAGCAACTCATACATTATAAATCAGACAGGGGAAAAAAAAAGTATTTATCTGATAAGATAGCATATAGCAAGCTACTTATCAAGCCAGTGTTAGCAGAAAACACAGTAGATTAAACATATAACTGATAAGTGAAGTGGAAAATGACTTAGCACTTTATACGGTGGAGATGGCTCAGTGTGGACTTAAATGTGGCTCGTCATACAGGTCTTCTATATGAGCAGTGACGGGGCGGGCTTCTTCCCAGGCCAGGCCTCTTTGGCGTATTTCTTTTTGCGTGGTTCATTCAAAGGCTCTGCGGTGTACGGCCCCGGAGCCGAAGTGCTGTTCAGGGTGACGGGTGGCTCTGCTGTGGTGGGTGTCACATCCACCTCAGGGGCAAGGTTAGGGAGCAGCAGAGGCAAACCCCCCAGGACGGCTGCAGCTCCCTGGGCCACAGAGTAGTGGTGGGTGGCTCCCTCATGGCTGGTGGGAGGAAGGTCCCCGTACAAACCACCACTGACTGGCAGGCTCTGCATCCTACGTACAGCAGCCTCCAGGCCCAGTGAGCCGTGATCTTCCATCTTCTTTTTCTGAGCAATGTCAAGAGATACACAGACACTGTCAGTTTGTTTTTTGTTGTTGTTGTTGTTTTAATACTAGTTTATTTTGCCCATAAAGATTGAAATCAAAGGGCAAATATCAAACTAGAAAAACAAGAAAATAGCATACTGTAGTGAAATATGTTCACCACAAGGATGACTCCCCGTATAAAATCCTTAGACCACTAACAGTTCTGTGAGAATGTTAATCTAATAACAAGACAATGACTGAATGACATTAAGTATCAATTAAAGTCATTTATACAAAGGAAGCTAATGGATCATTACTTACAGGCACTATGTGTAGAATATGAACATTTCAGAATTACCCCTGAATTCAAACTATCCACTGAGGGAGTAGGAATTATCTGAAGCAATATAAACACTCATCAGAGGTGTTGTTTTCCTACAAAAAATGTGTGCCTATAGAAATTGTGGAAGATGCTAAAAATACCTACACTTATCTATCAAGGCTAGTTTGTGGACTGTGGAAGTGGACAGCACACACATTTCTATTGATGCTGCAATAGATACACATCTGTCTGCTCCAGACAATTACATGGCTCCTAATATAGAACACAAAAATGGTGGGAGCCGCACAGACCGTCACTTTCCTCGGTAGATAACAAAATTATGGTCATGTGGACCCGAGTGCGCTCATGGATGTGGAACAAAAAGCCTTAAAATCTTCCTTCAAGAGTTGTCGGATACCTGTACAAAAGGTTGGTACAACCCTCATACTTACCTTTATTGGGACAACTGCTGTCTGAATCATGTTCCTGAAGCGTCCAACAGAGGGATCAATATCCTCTGCAACAACACAAAACAAAGAGCTGGACTTCCTGGCACAAAGCACAGTGTAAAGAAACTACATGTTCAGCCAAAGCCCTACGTATCAAAAGGATTATTAACTTCAGTGCAATGATGAGCAAAAACACTGTGACCACTCACAAATGAAGAGTTACCAACATTAGTGGTGTTTCCAAACTACTTAAATAATAATTAATCAAACTTTTTAAATGTCACAAAAAATGAAAAAAGAAACTCCAAATGAGACTTGTTTCCAAGAACATCTTTGGGGTGAACAAACTAGACTTTACAGTCCAGTCAGATGCTGGACGTTTAGGCTACGTTACACATTTAACCAACAGTAGATGAAGCCAGAAACAAACTTTAAAAAAAAAACAAAAAAACAGAAAACTTTGTCCATCTGTGGAAGAACAGTGGTGAGATTTCACCAGGAATTGTTTTCAACTTGAAAAGTTGTACTTCTTCTTTCATGTCAGCTGCTATTGGACGTGTTTAAAGCTGTCTAAAATGTCCAAAACCACCTTCAGAAAACTTTTAGGCAGAACTAAGTTTTTCCAAATGTTTTCATTGTCAGTAAGTTTTTCTAATGCAATACTTTGAAATGTGTATAAAATACATTATGGGAGCACATTAAGGCATAAACAACTGCTCATACCACGGTCTAGGATATGTTATATGGTTTGTGTACCGTTCATTCTTGTAGAGCGCCACAGTGCACCAAGACCGGATAAACAGAACCGGTACCACGGCGTTGGACAACATACAAGAGCAAGTCTGACACACAAAGAGATTTGGGCCCATCATGGTCGACCTGCTACAGCAATGTGTGGATTTCTGATGTGTTTATTTCATCAGTGAATGTGTCTGTACCTGGATTAATGACTTCCTCCTCATCACTGAAGGACACATGAGAACTCCTCCTCCTTTTCTTGGGCCTCGGCATGTCGAGGTTGCCCTCCTCGATGGTCAGGGTCGAGAGGCGCTTGTTGTGGGCCGTGTTGAACTCGGTCAGGTTCTACACCCAGAATAGTCCAAGAATTTGGGGCAATTTTAAAGAAGAGAAACACAGCACTGTGCAAAAGTGTTTTAAGTGAGGATTCTCTGAAAACGCATTGTCAGGCAAAGTTTTGATATTAACTTCATGTTAAGTGAAGAAAAGGGAAAAAATAAAAATCTACATAGAAATAAGAACATTTAGCACGACGAGCCCTTTTTCTTTACAACACCATCAGCTCTCTTCAATATGTTTCCACACAGGTTTTCAAGTCTCAGCTTTGGGCTTTGACCTCTGCAATCTGTGTGTTACCGTGTTTTTAAAATCCACTAAAATTCAGGAAAACAACATCCTCTGGGCTCGCAGCTTGCAACACTGAAAACGTGGATCATGCAGTACAGAACCCTGTTCAGGTTTTTTTGTTTTGTTTTTTAAATCCATGTTAATGACAGTGTTTGTCTCCCACCGTGCAAATTTGGGAACAAAACAGTCCCACTCATCACTATTTTAAACAACATGCCGACAAATTCCTTTAATTATTATTAATTATTATCTGCAATTTAGCAAATATCTCATAGAAATATTGTAAAATCTAACATCTATTTAAAAATGTTATGTATGACACTGTCTATTAATAAACTACTCAGAATGCATAAAATAACGGTCAAAAATAATTGTTTTTGTGAACCACCAGATTAACCACAGAGGCCCACAAATAACACTCAGGGTGTCTCAAAAGTCTAGAATCACATTTGAATGAGAAAAAACAAACTCATTTTCAGCAGCTGCACTTTGGGTTCTGCTGTCTGGGGCTACCTCCTTTCATCCCAAATGAAAACCAGCACAAACTATAAATTATTAATGTGTCTACACCTGTCAGTCTTACACTTTGTCAGAGCCCAAAAAAAGGAAGTTGTTCTTTTGCAAATGCATATCGAGTTTGGAGCTGCTCACATTCAGCAGCTCCTGCAAAGAAAAGAAGGGTTCCACTTTGAGTCGAGACTTTTTTAACACCCTACTGAGAACCGACAGCAGCACACAAAGATTAGTTTCACGCACATCTAGTTCAGTCTCCTCTTGAGGCAATCCCAGCAGGCCTTTCAGCTCTTCTTCCTCCCCTGCCTTCATCTCCCCTGGTGCGCCGCTGCCTTGGGTCTGGGGTTTTTCTCTAAGAATGTAGACCCTTGTAGATGCCCCAAATGACATGGTGGAGTCTAATGGGACCTGCTGGGGCTTGTGTGCTTCCAGACGAATTCTTCCTAAATAAGTCCCATGTGCTGGAAAAGAAACAGCAGGACCAAAGACTGGTTTCTATCTGTGAATTTGTCCTGTGTTTAAATAGTTCAAATACAATAATTTAAGAATTTGTGAGAGGTCAGAAATGTGATTCTGAATTGTTAAAACCAAGGATGTAGCTTGAGTTTTACCAGTGACCACATATGGACAGTTTTTGGAGCTGCATGACACAAACATGTAGAAAACACAAAGTAGTCTGACACCATTCATGTCACATATATGTGAATAAGAAACCAGGATTTTGAGGATGTAGTCTGGGTTTAGACTCACTGCTGTTGAGGTCTATGATGAAGACTCTTTTTAGGTGCTTGTGGTAAACCAGGGCCGAATGGATTCGTGAACAGGACTGATGGTCTATTGTGAAGTCGCACACATCTGGGTTCCTCCCAAACAGGTAGCACTTCTTTTCATCAATGATCAGCTTCTGCAGAGTCACCGAAGACCACAGTGTTAGTCTCAACTGATACAGCATGTAAAGTCCCAACGCATCATTAGCTGTGTTTCTGTACAAGATTGTAATTCTAAGAATAATAATAAATAATTGTCAGGTGAA